TGTGTGTGTGTGTGTGTGTGTGTTTCAGCAGAATGATAAAATAAACGTGTAAAACCACAGAAACATGGCTGTGAGATGAATCGTGTCCCAAAGTTTGAGCCTTTAAAAAAAAAACAAAACGACGACCACGAACAGTCTTGGATTGCTCCGTGCAAATCGTTTTTATTTGTATTTGTGATTTAAGGACCGTGAACCTTCTGAGTGTAGTTTAACACCTCGCCTCACCACAGATTGTAACTTGTATATTATATATTGTCTTCCTGACATCCAGTGATTGTGCAGCGTCGCCTCTGTGTTTTTCTGTCTTGTAACTCAGAGACGGAAGCTCGATGTTGTGTTGACATTTTTTATTTAACAAAGTTAAAACAAATGTAGAGACTGTACAATCGTGACATCACAAAATAAATTAAGTCCTGAAGAACACACTTTCTAACTTTAGTTTGAAAAATCCTAATTTCTTTGTGTGTTACCAAATAATTTTTTTATGTTGATCCAACAACATTCAGCACCAAAATAAAAGACCAGAACACAAAGACGCCTCAACAAAAGTGCTGGTTTCCTAAAATGATCAGATTAATAAACGAGTTGGTTTGACAAGTAAACACCGACTTGTCTACGAGCAGCAGCCGCAGATTAAAACAGATCCGTTTGAAGTGGTTTTTAAATGAAAACAGGAAATGCCACACATCCACCAACGTTGTTTTTTTTTATAGGTCATCCTGTCGCTGCTTCTTTTTCTGGCGTCTCTTTGCTCAACTGGTGCTTGAGGACATTAAAGAAAATGACTCTCGTTAACAGCTTCTAGTTTCAGTTAAATTTGTATTTGTGCTGTAATTGGTTTGAAACAGACTCGCCGGTAATTTTCTCTCTCACGTCCCCGCAGCCGTGCTGTTCCCCGACTGGGCCTACAAGCCGGCCTGGTCTCCAGGCTCCCGGCAGGTTCAGCTCTGGCACTTCTTACTGGAGCTGCTGGGCCGGGACGAGGGGGGGGCCATCGGCTGGGGAGGGGAGTGGGGCGAGTTTGTCATCCGGGACCCCGAGAGGCTGGCCAGGCTGTGGGGGGAGAGGAAGGGCAAACCGCACATGAACTACGACAAGCTCAGCCGGGCGCTCAGGTACAATCCACCAGTGATGCTGTTGAATTCACAGAGACATGCTCACATGTATTAAATATACACACACACACATAAACCACAGCCTGTCACAGCTCTTTAACTGGGAGTGTGTGAAACCCTCTGTGTGTGTGTGTGTGTGTGTGTGTGTGTGTGTGTGTGTGTGTGTGTGTGTGTGTGTGCAGCTTCTCCCTCAGGCTGAAGCTGTAAATAAATCGTGCTCCTCGCCGACATATGTTGTCAAATTAAATTTTAAAAATCTAAAACAGCCACAGATGCAATGCACGCCATTCAGGAAGCACTTCAATCTGAAGAGCCCTGCAGCAGCATGAGTGCACACACACACACACACACACACACACACACACACACACACACACTGTGATCTCACACAGAAAACACTTTACTTCCAGATACTACTACAACAAACGCATCCTGCACAAGACCAAAGGGAAACGATTCACCTACAAGTTCAACTTCAGCAAACTCATCCTGGTGAATTATCCAGGATTTCCACCGGCAGCGAGTCATCAGGTCATTAACTCGTCTTCACGTCTCGTCTCTCTCTCTCTCCACCCTGAAGCAACACTGTGCAACGTTCCACCTTAAATTTAGGTTTGATGTCTGAGTGTGACATCACTCCCTGAGCGTCTGTTCTCTGTGACTCCGGTTCGATTTCCTGTGAGAAGAACCGACGGAGAGTCTCGGCCTTGACTGTCACGATCGACAGTTGACGAGTGAAGCTGATCTGCGATCAGTTCAAAACACTGAGACGTTATTAACAACCAGAGTTTATCTCCAACGTTCGGCAGCAAACTTTGAAAATATGAAGTTTTGTTGCGGCTCTTCTCACTCAGGAAGCCGGGGATCGTGGGTAACATCCACATTAATAGACTCTAAACGACTGAATCGCTCGGACACAGATAAAAACAGAATGAATCCCAGCATGTGGCTGCAGAGGGCGCTGTTGCTCAGTAGAGGTTACACACTGTTGCTTTAAGGATTTCTCACGAATCATTTTGTTTAAAATCGTCTCCTGAACAGTTTTTAAAAAAAAATCCAGTTTCATAAAACGTGTGTATATTTCTNATCACATAAATAATCAGAACCAGTTTTAAAATATGAGCAACAAGTTCTAATATCTTTCTAAGCTAATGAAGGATAGAAATTTAGCTTGAAACAAGTTCAACATTTTTTTCACCTTGATTTGAGATATTTAGTTCAGGTTTTGTTTCCCTTTGGTTGAGAATCAAGATTCAGTATCAAGTTGCACTATTATTGGATTTCATATCATGTTTTGTTTTTTTCTCTGAACACCAGTTTAATACTAAGCTAGAAAATCATTGGTTTTATTAAACTCAGACAATGAGCTAAATAACTGTTGTACTGACAATTTAATCTTATTCTCAAAAAAAAAAAAAAAAAATGAATACAGAGCTTTTCTTGGATGTGCTGTAGTTTGAGTTATTTTTGTGTGGTAGCTACATGTGTTTGTTTATTAAGAAGACGGGACACAAGGGGCTGACAGGAGGATCAGGGAAATCAGTGGCGTCTCTGTGAGGTGTTAGACTCTAAATATTATTGGCACGCTGACGGCCTCCCACAGCGCCATGGTGTGTAAAATCGTTAACAAGCATCATGATGGGCCCTCTCCGTCCCCAAGGTGAGAGGGTGGAGAGTGTTTTTATCAGCCTTTGTCCTGAGGGTGTGACGAGGTGTCCCCGTGTCACATGACCAGTCTGGTTACCAGAGAGATCTTTCTGTCGTCACCACAGAGGAAGACATCACATGTCGCTCTTTCATAGACACGTGTCAGGGAGGTGAGAAAATACAACTCGTCACGCTGTAGAACACGATACATCAGCTTTTAATTTGTGAAAATACAAAATGAAATCATGTACAATTTATGTACAAGCCTATTTGTACAAGACAATAAACTGTATTCTTTATCAGGTATTTTGACATAGTCAGAAATATCAACTTAGCACTGTCATTGTGTCCACAAGTCAATGTGCTAAAAAAAAAAGAATAATCACAAAAGAATACAAACTAGACTGTAATGCCAAACATCCCCCCACCTCCCACAGGTACTGGCAAACAAGAAAATCTGTCAAACAACAAAAACACTAGAAAGAAATACTTTACATTAAGCTTTATAGATTTAAAGAGTACATACAAATCATGGCTCTGCTATTGATGATGGATCATTTAAAGAACCTGACCCAACTTTAATTAAAACATTTCTTCAGCTTTATCATTTAATATGAATTTGACTGAGTCGAATAGAAATCATTACTGAAACTTTATCATTTCGTATGAAACCAACAGACGGATCCTCGAATGTCGAGGGGACTCAGCGTGTTTCAGTGAAACCACATGACTGAGAGTTGTTTTGTACACTCCATTTTAAAATACACAGTTTTCAGCAGATTGGAATAAAACTCCTGTTTAATTATGTTCTTAACATTTTCAATTTTTCAACGAGGCCACGAGTGTGAAACATATCAGGAGCACCTTCCTGCTGAGAACGTGATTAACGCCTTAATCATGTGTCTCGCTGAGGTGTTTCATTTTCCAGCCTCCTCATCCACAGCATATTCAATTAGTTAAACAATTTAAAAAAAATCCAGATCTCTACCTGCTGTTCGGGAAATTCTGTGCACGTCTCATGAGTGTGTGTTGCACTGAGAGATCCATGTTCCCATTTCAACTCATCTCCTTCCATCTCGTCCTCCATCCGTCCGTCTGTCCGTCCTGCAGCTGGTACAGAGCCTCCCCTTCCCTCTGCTCCCTGCTGAGGGTGGTCTCCCTCTGTGTGGAGGAGCAGTGATGGACAGAGGTAAGAAAACACCAGCCGGAGGTTTTCCTCTGAGCAGCTGCTGCATCCACGTCTCACTGTCTCACTGTCTCACACGGATTAATCCATGGGACGTTTTTATGTTCGTTTGTTAGTTTTGCAAAAACCACTGTACTGATTTCTATAAAAATTGGGGGACAGATGTGTTCAGGAGAGAATCTTTTAGATATTGTTGTGGATCCAGGATTTGTTTCCCACTTTCTTTAACATTGTGAGATAAGAGCGTTTTCAACATTTTGACCAAATGTCCCCAGGGAATCATTCACGGATGATAAGGTGTTTGCAGTTTCGTACAGATCCACGTAAACCTCTGCATCTAGTGAATTTAAATGTTGGTTTTATAAGAGGACTGTGGTGGAAATGACATCCACTGAATTTACTTTCTCAAAGTTAATGTTTTTCATCCACTTTTGTTTTTGGGAATCACCAAGACGATCCCCGTCTCCCTCCTCTTCCCTCACATTACTCATGGTTAAACACTTGCTGCTGATTTCTTTAACGTCAAAAGAACTCAGCGTCCTCTCCCTCTGAATTTATTTAAAAGTGAAAGAGGACGTCAATGACTGGAAATGATTCAAATATAAAACATTCGCCCTTGACCTTGTAGAATATGTCTGGTTCTCTGGATGAATAAATTTAATCATGTCTAGTTTAAAAATTGCACGACTGGAGATCTACTATTTAGATGTTATTATTTATTTATTGTGATCTTATTAATTAAGAACAATTCTACTGTGTTTTAGATCAAATCAAATACAACTTGTGGCTGATGTGACTCCCTCTCTGTTTCCATGACAGCAGCCCCTCCTGTGCCTCACCCCTTCTTGCTCCCGTGTTGCCTCCCCAAGCCCATCCCGACCCCCCGGGCCCTCCACGGCCCCTTCCCCTTCATCTCCGCCCCTGCACGTCCCTCAGGGGGCAACCTGAGGGAGCTGAGGGCCGTCCCGTCTCTCGCCTCGGCCCGCCACACGGGCTGGCAGCACAAGACCCCCGCAGGGTGGGATCTGAGCCACATCAGTCGGAGTCTGCTCGGTGCAGCCAGGGAGAGCGCCGGTCAAGGAGAGGAGAGGAGGACGAGGAGTGACCCTCACTTGGGGGAGAGGGAGTGAAGGAGAAGAAACAACTGTGACAGATGGACTGTGTTTCCTCCTCACACACACACACACACACACACACACACACTCTTTTTGTGTTGTTTTGAGTAGTTAATTCATCACTTCCTGTGGTTGGATACACACAGACTTTCGTATTTATTGAGTTGGACAATGTTGTGTTTTTTTAATAGACGTGTTGAGGAACCCTGCTGTTCTGTTTCAGGCCTCGGTGGCTCGGGAATCTCACTTGTAAACAATTAACAACGTGGCACTTGTGTTGGAGTAAATAAAGCAGAGCACTCAACGCACATTATTCAGCTGCTTGCGTCGCAACACACACACACACACACACACACACACACACACACACACACACACACACACACACACACACACACACACACACACACACACACAGTGAAACCTCCAGCCTTCTCCACAGCATCAGGTCAGTTCCGCTCCGAGGCGACAGGGGGCAGCAGCTGTGAATTCACACCATGTTTCCACAGCTCACTTTCCCGGGAAAGAGTCGGCGCCGAGATGTGCAAAAAATAAAGATGTGCCACTCTGATTGATCTTTAACTTCAGTCGTCCTGAGTCGGTTTAGTTGGAAAACACAAATGTTTGTTTCTAAGACATCTTGCAAAAACAAAGAGAGCAGATGTGTTGTGGTTGTCGGGTTCAGATTGTGCAGCAAAGCAAATGTAAACTTTAAAATGTGTTCCTCCACTTTAAATAAGTTCTGATGAACCTGTTCTTTGAGGATCACAAACAAGTTTCAGGTTTTATTCGTCGTGTGCAAGTTTATCAACAGTTGAACTAAAGATGTTGGACGACAGGAAACCGCTCAGCTCAGCAGTGCAATGGTTAAATTAAAATGAAAGCAACGTAGAAAGAGCTCAGTGTAAAAAGATAAATACAAAACTAAAACTGTACACATCCAAATGTACAGTGGGACATTCGTTGCTGATGAGCTGTAAGGTACGGAGTGTGTGTGCACATGTGTCTGTATAAGTGTTGCACCGTGTGTGTCTCATTTATTTGACATTTGTCCAAAGAACATGCAAACAGGCAGGAAGCATCCGGCTTCCTGCCTGTTTGCATGAGAGGATTGTAAAGCCACGAGTTCACTGTGAGTTTACGAACATGAAGACAGGCTTCGTTGAAATCTGGAGGATTATCAAAGGGACAGAAAAGTGGGACAAACACATACAAGCATCCTGTCTGTGTCCTCACAGTCACTTTACACATAGATGTGTGTAACATGAATAATGTAAATACAATAAAAAGATTGATCAATTGTGTTATTGTTATTATTATTATTTCACTTGTATGATATTTGATATTTACACCTCGATCATTTGTTATCATTATATTCTCTGGTTTTAAGCACGTGCGCATATTTTAAGTGGCTGAATTTACAGTCAGACAACAGCTCGGATTTTTACCTCACGAGTGACTCATCCTCTCTCTTTAACGATCTTCGGCCGAGGTTTTACTTTGGCGCCGAATATTCTAACAGTGTGTTGCCTGCGCAGCGCGGGACTTTGTGTGTCTGTCTGAGTGACAGTGTGTGTGTTTGTGTGTTTGTGTGTTTCACTGTGACTCTTGGTTTCCAGCTGAAGATCGACGACAACATGCAGCGGAGCATCGCGTGAGTAGTTCGCTAAAGTGCCTGTTGTGCTAGGAGCTAGCGTTAGCTCGGCGACTTGTGACTGTGTGTGTTAGCATGAAGTGACCCCGAGCTCGGTTGTGTTCAAAGTTTGTGTTAAAAGGCCTTTAAATCTCCCGCAGGGGTGTTAGCACGAGATGTGCGGCCGAGTGTTGACTCCTAACGTCACCGACAGAGAGTTAGCTTTAGCAGAAATGAGCTCGTTGTGTTGTGATGTTGTTGTGCGCTCACACTAAACTGTGAGAGTCAAGAACTAAGTGGTTCAGTGTTTTTCATCTGTGTCAAACGTGTTAAAGATCCAGATTCATGTATCAGTTAGCTTAATCTCCCGCAGTGTGTGTTAGCAAAGCCTCAAACTTCTTCTGTCTCGTGACTGTGGAGAATGTTAAATGTCCGTCACACCGTGAGCTGTCAATCTGTGCGTCACTTCCTGTCCTCCATCCACCAGATCCTTCTTTCAGCCCAAGAGCAAAGACAAGGATGTTCAGAAGAAGTCCACGGATCCACCAGTGAAGAAGTGAGAGTGATTCACTTCTTATTTCTCTTCTCACACGTGGTTTAAAGCTGCTGTTCTGTAAATGTCTGATCTCCAGAGTCGTCCGTCCTTCACCTGCTAAACATGGGGATTAGTTCGAGTTAACCACATCGGTGGATGAGCTAATAGTTTGACTTTATCTGTGAATCTCTGTCGCTTTGTAAAAACTCCTGTGTCCAGTCGTTATTTTCTGAAAAGACACGATGAAAGGAAATCACTCCGCTTCCTCGTCTGATGAAAATCTTTTCAAAGTGTGTCCCAGAACTCGCTCTCACAGATTAGTCGTCGTGTAATGATCTCTTCTTCTTCTTCTTCTTCTGATTACTTTATCTGTTTTTTTTTTTTTTCAAATCCTTGTCGTTTCACTGTAAAACCTTATAAATGTGTGAAATCACCGTGCCGCTCTCCAGACCTGTCAAGAGCCCTCTCAAGGTGCAGAACGGCGCGCCAGACGCTGATTCCCCCATCAAGAAGGTTGCCAAGCGCAGCCGTCAAATCCTGGACAGCGACGAGGACGAGGCGCCCGTCGTTAAAGAGCGAGTTGCCGTCAAGGGACAAGGAGACAAAGAATCCTCCGATAAAACAGAAAAGGTGAAAAAAAACAAAGCACTCCAACGCATCAGCTGGAATTTCTCAGCTTCTGCTGGCGCAAACAGAAATTGACGTTTTCATGCTAGCACATTGTGTGAAGGAAACAAAGCAGACGCGCTTTTTTTATAACGAAACGCCCGATGTTATAATTGCGGAGGATGAATTTCCAGTGGGCGTCCTGTTTCCTCGCACAATGTGAAAGTTACCGAAACAGTGTGATGTTCAACAAATGTTCTGAAGCCACTTTGTAACCTGCACAAGCAGAAGCTAATGAGCCCGTCAGAGCTCCTGGAGGCGTATCAGGGCCTATTGTTAATTCAACATGGGAAACGCATTTATCAATAAGCTGCATAATGAAAAGTCCTGATTATCAGCTGTCGCTCAATCGCCTGCTGTTTGATAAACACTTCTCTTAACTGCGCCGTTAATTTTGTTTGTAGTATGTCAGCCATGATTCATTATTTGATAATTGAGGGAAGAGATGGTGACGGCTTCATTATGTTTGTCAGCGGGAGCCATCCTGCTTCACTTTCACACTGTTGAGATGATCGTATTATTTTTCATGAGGAGACTAATATCGCCACGCTGGAGATAAGTGCAGGGCAGCGGCTGATGGTTATTTTCATGGATAATAAGTATTTTTTGTTATTTTAAAAAAAACAAAAAACAAAAAACCTTTTCAGTGTCTCAGTTATTTTAAACTGAGGCCGAGCTGATCACAAATTTACAGACAGTCAAAGAGGACGATCAGCGTTCGATTGATGAGTAACTTGTAACTTCATTTTTTAAATGACAGTAAAAAGGTAAGTAGGCCACTTTAGAGGACATTTTTTTAATGTCTGTCCAACACTCATATTTTATATTCAGGTTACTACTAACTACTACTACTACTTGGACATTTTCCGGAGTTAGTCTTTCGAAATTGAAGATGGCAGCAGGTGATCTCAGTCAAACACGATTACAACAACAAGTTTTCAGGAGAGCATATAATAGAAATAATGGATAAATTGATATCTTTGTTGGAGCAAAGTTTTCCTGCTGTATTTTCACTTGGATGTTTAATAAAGGGCCCAGCATCAAAAGTTTTCAAAATGCCTGGAGCAACTGAGTTGGACATTTTCCCTCTCACACACATCCTGAACATATCTGAACTTCAGTGTGTGTTTGAAAACAGTCTGTGTCGCAAACACAAATATTAGGATATTATCTTTACTTTAATGAATCCAAATTCTGGTTACGTTCATATTCATGGAGCAACTAAATCGAATGTACCTGAAGAAAACCTGGTTGCGAATCACTGCTATGAAAATAAGCTGTATTTTGCTTGCGGGCTTCATCCGCGATGCCGGACAAAATAAAAAGTTATTTAAAGCTCATTAATGGGATTGTGGAAGTTTACAACGTTGGTTAATTGGGTGTTTTCAGGAATTTAATGTCGAGGCCTTAGTTCTTGTTTTGTTAGACGTCGTTGCCAGCTCGCCCACCGTAATGTTCTCTCCATCAGGCCTCACTAAACGACGTGCTTCATTGAACAGCGGACTTGTTTCCCCCCACTGATGGAGGTTTGTGTCATTCAGCGGCGCCGTGTCGTTTCCCGACGCTTTGTAAACTGCGGAGACATTTTTCCTCACAGGCTTTGTTGAGGTTTCAGTTTTTTTCTTAATTTGCTTCCTGACATCTCATAACAAAGGTCGTTGTGTGTCCATAAACCAATGAACGCTCCTTTTCTTTGTTATTCCCAACAAACTGAATGCTCGCATTAGCTTTGTCTGAAGACGCCACGTAAGGATTTGCTGCCTCTTTTTTTAAATTTTTTTTTATACAAGGATCATTAATTCATCAGCTTTTCCTTTTTTCAGAAGGACGATGTGTTCAAGGCAGTCCCCACCCCTCTGTCTCCACCCCCAGCCCCAGCCACCCCTGTAACACCAGCCACTCCAGCAACCCCGGCCTCGTCAGCTTCACCGGGGACCCCCGGCACACCGAACTCCACCTCTCCGTCTGGGATTGTTAAACGTAAGACAGGTCAGTATCGGATCATATTGGATTTTTTTTTTTTTTTTTCAGTGAGATTCTCAACTTTTCCTCTCGAGCTGCAGCGTTTTGAACTTTGACTCCAACCGAGAGTGATGTTTTTCTATCCTCGAGCAATTTATATGATTACATCTTAGCAGGAGCCTAATGGCTCCAAATACTCATTATTCCTCAGTGAGGAAATACAAGACATTTATCACAAGCTGAGTGCACGAGATGCAAAATACACTTTCTACTCTGGAGGGGGGGGGGTCTCGACCTTTAGATTGACGACCACTCGACCAGATGATGCTTCACTCTTGTGTCATTTGTCTCATCAGTCCGCTCCAGCCCTTATCATCGTTGTCCTGTGTGTGTTTTCAGTTTGACGATTATGTTAATGCTACATTATCTTGCGTTGCATCGTTTCTGCTGACTGGTCCGTAATGGAACCAGCAGAGCAACTCATCTTTTAATTGTTCCTGATTATCTGTTAATTTGGCTCAGTTTTCATTTTTGCAGGCTTCAGTAACTGTCTATTAAAAAAAAGCAGGACTGAACATATGTGTTTATTATTTTATATCAGTTTTTATGCACAATATATATATCTATTGTCTCCAGCTTATCTGAGATCAGGTCATGGAGGCCACAGGCTCCACGATCGACTGGTTAATCGAAAGCATTGCCTCGCCTCATCTCCTCCTTTCCTGCAACAGTCTGGTCCACATTACTGCCGACGCCACACCGATCTGCGTGTCCATCTCCCGCTCTCTTTCTCTTCTCTCTCATGAACATCCCCAGAGAAAGTTAAAGTCCTTCACGCCCACGTCGGAGAGAGAGCAATCCGCTGTTCTCTGCCAGAGAGACACAGCGTTATTCTTTTTTTTTTTCTTCCACATTCTCAACCCAGTTGCCCGAGTGCACCCTGGAGGTCACGGTGACATGAAAACTCTGAGGTTTTTATCTGAACATTTAAAACTAAATGTTTGTGTGTCTAACTGCAAACAATGCATATGAATTCAAATGGCCAACTTATTATAAGTTGAGTTTTTTAATAGCTGCCTCTGTCACACCTCAGATGTTGAGAGAATCGAAGCTCTTTCCAGCGGCACAGTTTTCTTGTATTGCAGATTTGTTTTCATTTGGGAAGCACCTCCTTCCTCACTCTCCTTCCTTCATCCTATTTTTTTTGCAGTGAGGCAAGTGGCTCGTTCTCTTTTCATCATCCCGTTCTCTTTGTGTTTGATGACTGCAGCGTTTGCTCTCAGCAGCGGTGTGTTATCACAATAGGATCCCTGGCACCATCACAGCTGAAGAACAACATCACATTAAAAGTAACACCCTAATTTGACCAGTAATTGCATTCTTAATGTCCCGGGTTAATCTTTTCATTATGATATCTGAAGGAAAACATCCCCACTACCTGCGCTGGAACCTTAACAAGGACAAACACACGGGTGGATGTGGAACCTTAAACCAAAATCTCCCTCCAGCAACATTACTGCACAGGAAATGACACTGGAAGTATAAGCGGCTGTGCTGCGTGGTGTCTTTCAGGATGGAATTAGTCTTTTCATTAGTAAAGTATGTATCTGTGATTCTCTTTTCTGCGTTGCCCTACATCTGCAGTGAGGGAGCAGGCTCGTCCTGTTTTCATCTCCACATTCTCTCTGTTTGATCGTGATTTCAGTCGGGATGCTTCTCACTTCTCCCCCATCCTTTCTTTTAATTTAATGCCCGTTCTGACGTGTGCAGCGAGAAAGATGTTCCCCAAGAGGAAGCTCGACGAGAGCAAGAGCGGCAGCGAGAGTCAGAAAGACGAGGCCGAGGCAGAGGAGGAGCGGGGTCAGCTAAATAAACGACCCCGCATGGAGCCCGTCGCCAACAGTGCAGGTACGCCCTCACTTCAGGAGTCTGTTTGCAGAGTACAGCTCCTGCATGACTGGAGAGACTTAGGGAGGATTTAAAATTTACCAGAGCCTGTCGAAAATATTTGGATTTTGCACAAACACATAGGACACATGGTAAAAAAAGGAAAAACCAACAAACGGCTCATTAAGTATTTTTTCAAATCATGATGATTATACTGTTAATTTTAATTTCCATCTTGTACTTTTCAATCCAAATTGAAATAAGAAAAAACTAAACTGAACTATATGAAATCATATGTTTACAAATGGAGCCGGTTTAAACTGATGTCCTCTCATAGAAATTCACGTCAGAGTTAAAAGGAGTTTCTAACCCTCCGGTCACAATTTAATTAATCAAGATGCACATTTCTGGAGGCAAAAACAATAATTCAAAATTACATTAAACTTATTTTTCAGAAAGTATGATGTAACATTAAGTGCCACTTATATCCCAATTAATTACATCCAAGGGCAACACAAACCAGTGGCGTTGTTTTTATTTACTTGACAGAAAAGCAGCTGCTGAAATATAATGAGTCAATTGATTGATTGGAAGAAAATTGCAACAGAATTTGTTAAACCTTTAAGCTGGTTATTAACTAAAATCCCAAATATCCTTTTGTTCCAGCTTCTTAAACATGAGGATTTGCAGCTTTTCTCTTTGTTAAATTGTTAGTTAAACTAATTGTTTATTCTTCTTCTCGACTAAATGATAATTGTACTTTGGATGAGTCCATGTGGTGAAAGTTTTTAAACCTGATGTTTTATTGAGCACCACATGCACGTACCCAAACACAGCAGACAGACCATTGGCCCTTTTCTCTTTTCTAAAATTGATTGTCATGACACCAGAGGTGACAGCTGGATTCACCTATCCAGGCTACAAGTCATTGTAATGTGTGGATAAGAAAATTAAAGTTTCATGTCCGGCCCTTGTGATCCAAGCTTTGTCTCCTGGGACTCTGTGCTACAAGTTTGTCAATAGTCATTTCTCTCTCCTGACTCACTCGGGTGAAAAGGAAACTTCTGAAATATAACCGGCGGCATTTATTGAAGAAGACTCTTGTAATGAAAACCATATTCCAAAAAAAAAAAAAAAAAACTGGGTCACCCTCAGAAAACTTGCTGGCATTTATCTCTTCAATAACTCCACTCCCTTTCTGATTCGCCCTGTGTAGGGGACGCCGGTGACCCCATGGAGGAGGGAGCAAAGGAAGAAGACGTTGAAAAGGCAGTGACCGCGACTAACAGCCAGGATGAAGAGGTGGAGAACAAGAAGAAAGAGGACGGAGAGAAGGCCAAAGAGGAGAGGCGAGCGGACAGAGAGAGCTGCGGTGAGAGAGAAAAGAAAGCTGAGGGGGCGGAAAAGAAAAATGAAGCAAAGGAGGAGACCGATGATGAGAAAGGTTCTGCCACTGCCAAGAAGGAGGTGGTTGAAAAGGACACGCGAGAGGGAGAAGAGAGCCCAAAAAGTCAAACAGCAAAAGAGCAGAAAGATAAGGAGCCGGCCAAGAAAGCTCCCATCAGCAGTTTCTTTGGTGAGGAAAGAATTTGCATAACTCCGCGCTTGCACAAAAAAAAAAAAATAGAAAACATGTCTTTGCTTTTATCAGTTAGGAAAGATGGCAAATTATTGCTCTGCCCAGCCACTCCACCCTCACCTTTCTTTCTTCTTTTATTTATCTATTTTATTTTATTTATTTTTTTCCAAATAGCTCCCAGGAAAGTTGCAGTGAAGACGGAGAAAGCAGAGAAGAATGAAGGAGAGAAAAAGACGAGTGCAGAGAGGAAGAGCTCAGCCGAGGAGAGTAAAGACACAAAGAGGTAAGGAAAGGACACGACAAGGAAGCAAAACAGCTGAGTCCTTCCACCGGCCTGTTTGTTCTTTACTCTTATTGTCCGGCCGTCACCGTAATTTCACACTCACTGATTTATTGTGTTTGTCCCGGAAAGTGCTGAGAGCTGAGATCTGTTCTAATCAACATTTAATCAAATCCACAAAAGGCCTTAAGTTCTCTTCGGCCTCATCCATTGTTTTAAAAACGATCCACTCGAGAGTGACCGTTCATGTACAGTGTAAACAGGAAGTCTAATGTGCAGCCGTTGCTTTCTCTGTACGAAGGAGGAACAGCGACGGTGAAAAGTAAGATGTGGGATTTGTTTTCTAGGGACCAACATTAAGCCCCAGAATCTAATGCTGTTTCCAAACTCAAACTAGATGAAGTCAAGTTATTTGCTCTCTGTGGTGTGGGGGTCTTCACTGCTGCTGTTAGTTGCCAGAATCAATATCATTAAGAACCGTTACAGGGTCAATGATTTCCGTTTATCTCCATGGAAACACGTGAGGTCTCGGAGCAGATCTCAGACCCTCGCGGCCCAGCGCCCTCGGAGACTTGACGTCAGTGAAGAATGAGTCAGGATTCTTAGAGTTCAGAGGACGGACGTTTGTCTTCTGTTTTCTTGTCTGTACACTTGGTGGTTAAAGGGTCTTTAGCGGGTTGCGTCCTCTCAGATCCACTGAATCATTTATTCGTCCTCGTGGTGCACGTGAGCTAGCCCCGACCTTCGACCCCTCTGGAATCCATGCACTACTCCCCCAAATGATTATTTCCATATTTTGATTCTAGCTGTTAGTTGATGAAGTGACCGACATGACTGTTAATCACTTTAGATTAAATTAAATAGACGTCAGTGTCTGCTGACACTTCGTAAAGTGCATTTATTTATTATCGGTATTACCATAATGCGTTTGATACGCATTGTTCTTTTATCACGTGTGAATAAACCAGAAGCAGCAGCAGCGTGTTACTGCTTTGTCATTTTGAGGTCACGTTAACCATTTCATACACAAACTATTTATAGCCCCAGACGAGAGGAAATGCATTTTTTCATCCCTCTTAACTATTTATTATTTCATCACTGCCTCTTGTGTGACAGTGTAGGAGTGATAGGCATGACATGAAAAAGGAAAGTTCACTGATGCTGGTGATGAATTCAGACGATAATATTTCTGTGAGTAAAACAACTTCAATGTCCTGTTTGAGTTTTATGCAGGAATAAATTAGACGTTGGAATTTCACTTCTATTCACGATGTTGAACTTTTCCTAAGCTTTTTCATTCTGACATGAACTTTGCTGTAGTTCAGCCTCTTCCAGTGTGAAGTCCGCAGTGAAACTTTTAGCCTCCAAAAGTCTTGTTGCATTTCAAAGTTATCTCATTGTCATGATAATGGTGTGCGTGACTTCCTGTCAACGAAGACGTTGGCGTCGGCTTCAGTGTCTGGAACAGCTGTCACCACCGTTCAGTTTGACACTAATTTGCTCTGTCTCCCTTCGACGTTTTTCCTCAGTGAGTCAACTTCGGGACAAAGCGACTACGATCCGTCCAGGCCCAAATATCATCCTGTGGACCACGCCTGTTGGAAGCAGGGCCAGAGGTAAGTCGACCCTAATTTTTGCTTTCTCTGCTCGCCGCTCACCTGATGGTTAAATGTGCTGATTGAATATCCTTGTTGCGGATTCGCAGTGGTTGTGGTATTTTCGGTGTATCATGGAATTTAATGTTTTTTTTTTTAACTCTGTCAGAATATTTAAGGATGTTAGAAGCTGCTCACTTTTTTAGAAATCTCTCAAATCTATTTTTTAACTGGAAATGAAAAATAGATGAGGGAGTGCTTCTTGGATCTGACAACTGTGTGACACAGAACAGTTGCTCTTTTTGCACTGATAATCAACGTTCATAAAAAAAAAAAAAGGGCTGAGAAGTCGACGCACGCTGCTTTGTGACGGTGCAAAAGAAACAAATCCTTTATTTTAGAGGCTACATGAAAAAAATAAGACCGACACCCATGTTCCTCTGGGGTAACTTGAACAAACGGTGGTGCAGTGGGTAGAACGTGAAGAAGGTTCTGGGTTCGAACCGTAGACTGTACATTTAGTCACAGACTGTATCTGATAAGTTTGGTTTTAAGTATTTATCTGATGCTACTGAAACAGAGGGGAACATCGTGACTGACAGCTGAGACCAACTCACGATTGGTCGAGTGCATGTCGATCCGTGGCTTCACTCTGATTCCAAATGATCCCAACAGCGCGAGATGTTTGCACCTGCGTACATGATATTTTAGCTTATTTTGTGTACGGACACATCATCCATCTTTATTTAAAGTCTATTATTCGAACCTGTCAGCCGACAAGGGCCTTCCACAGCTTCTTGCCGCAGTCCAGAGACCTGCAGTTTAAGTTAATTGGAGATTCTAAATTGCCCCACAGGTGTAAGTGTTGGCGCGGATCTGCTGTTCTCTCTGTGTATGTTTGCTCTGTGATGAACAGGCAGCCGGTCCAGGTTGTCCTGCCGCCTCTCGCTCAGGCTGTTAAACATATTGCTCCAGCTGTCGAAATGTCTTCTAGTTTACAAACCATATTTAACACTTTGCAAAAAAACATAACTCATCTACACACACACACACCAAATCCAATCTCTTGAACGGGAAACATGGAGAACGGAGAAAATACAAAAGAGCAGCTTGAAGACGATGTTTGACGTGTTCCAGAAGAGGCCAGATTGTGTCAATGTTTTTCGAGAGGCCTCGGAACTGTGTGTGATGTTCTCACACTACAGGTCAGTGCCCACTTGATCGAGACTTCAAATTTAAGAGGTTAAAACATGTTTTCATCCCAGACTAATAAAAACGCCCGGCCAGACAATAAGTGAAAGCCAAGACTATTTGTTAGGTGACGGAGATGCTGCCGTCTCAGGGAACACAAATAAATTGCTCTAAGTGAATTGCAAGTATTGAATGACCTTATTTATTGGCATGAATTGAAGTGTTTTTGTTCTTCCTGTAAAGGAGAATATGATCCTAAGGTAAATACATCAATCACAGCCCGTCTCTCTATTTGCCACAGACCGTTATTTCAACAAGATGTCGTCTGATTGATTATCATGGATTTTTGACATTTCTGGTAATTACAAAGCTGGAGGGGGTATCAGTGTGGATTGACTAAATCCACTCTTTGTCTTTGTCAATATTCATTTTAATGTCCCACTTCTGATTGTCAAATCAGGATAAAAAAATAAAAAAAAAGGCCCAAAGCTAACCCACCCACCAAAGAGTCAAGATTTGAGACGTAACAGTGACAGTTGTGATTAAATTAGAGGAGTTTTTTTTTGTCTCTAACTCAAACTAGCCGAAAGAAACTCTGAAGAGATGAAAATTTCAGGGCTGCCAAGTGGAAAAAAGAAGTGGAATTTTACATCAAGGCCGTAGTGCAAATCATGCTGCTTATACCGAGCTCAGACTGGAGTCAACTACTGTACAGTGTCATGGGTTTGGTTTGTTTTGACCTGCTTTGAATACCAGATGGAGCTTTCTGCTTCTAAGCAGTTTGAGGTATCGCGTCACTCTCAGAAAAGTCACTGAATTGACTTTCAAATGTTTAGTTTTGTATAATTAAATCAATTCTGGCTTCCGGAATTTCGAATAAACAACATCCACTCACTCCAAACCAAAAGAAAACAAATGTTGAAAGCTGTTAGATGTATATTCCGGTGCAACGTCCATACTGAGGCTTGCACATGTGCAGAAAGAAAGATGCCGACGTTTTCACAGCAACACCTGTGTCACGGATCACAGCGGAGATATCACAAGAAAAGAAGTGTGCATGCTCAGTGTCTGCACAGCTTTCACCGAGTGAGACCTTGAACATTAGATTTCACAGCAGACGGCCTCACGCTTCTGCTGCACTTGAATTTGTGTTCCATGTTAAATAACCCAGACTGCGGCGGTAATCAAAGATCTCCTCATCATGTGATAAGACTCTGGGATGCGACTGCTGTAGAGCGTGACTATCGAACCGAGCCGGACAAGTCGGGCCATGTTCGGAGAGAAAAAGCAAACGGTCACATAGAGAAATGTTGTCTGGGTCGAGCTCTGCTGTGTAAAGCCGACACTACAGGTTATAACCGCAGCGTCGGACTAAGACGTGACGTGGGCGCCGCCACTGATGCACAGAAATGATCCGTTTTACCTCTATAACAAAATCAAACAGCTGGTGGCTGATGTCCCTGAACACTAACTATTATACAGATACATAGAGATTTGCTTTTATTATGGAGCAGGGGCCTGAGAATAGATCCCAGGTATCAACAGAGAAAGTATTTACAATATTTAAATGCATTTAAATCTTTCTCCGGACGTAGCTCTACAGAAAGTTTCAGAAAAAAGAAACCCTATCAGATGATAACATATATTTTTTTACACATCAATCAGTGTAAGGACACAGGGTTCTCCACCTCGGCAGCTCTGACCTTTGTCCTCCCTGCGGTTTGCTCTCGTGGAGTTTTTAAGACCCAGAATCAAAGCTCGATCCACCGTTGCACTAATTGTCAGTGTCAGCTAAACGTTGTGAATGTTAAAATGTGTCTGTGCCGATGCTTCGCCTGCTAACGACATGCTCATCACTCTCCAGAGTGCCGTACTTGGCTGTGGCTCGCACCTTTGAGAAGATTGAAGAGGACTCTGGCAGGTAAGCGCTCCATATGGAGGAAAAGAGATCTTCTATTCCCGCATTGAGGTGAATGCCATTTGGGAGAAAGTGATCGCTAAATATTCAAAGCGTCGACATAAACCAAAGCAGTTTTACGAAATTACCACTCAGGCTTTCTGCTGGGATTTCCTGGAATATGATTAGAGAAATGTCTGAGCCAGGAAAAGTGAGGGAATTTAATTTGGATTTTTATTCACTTATTTAAAACTCGGGCTAAAAAAAACAAATGAGGAGGTAAATACATGTGATTCTCAGACCTGGTATAAACATCCACCTTAAGTGATCTAATCACGAGTGGACGGAGCTCCGGTCGACGCGCCCCGAGACGAGCGACCCACTTCAGTTTCACTGTGACTCTTCCCAGAGCACGGAAGTGAGATCCAATCACAAGTGGTCCCAGGAGACACATTCAGGAGGCGTTTTAATGCCTGGTATAAAAATGTGAGTTTAGTGCTGCCCACTTGTGATTGGATCGCTCAGGTGGATATTAACATGTCTGAACAGCGGCTCAGGAACCTAGATATTTTTTTATATGGGATGATTTGAAACTAAAGGCTCTTACGAACACATTGAAAACACATTTTAGCGACTCTTTCATTTCATCTTTTACGGATATTAAATGACAAACATCCTGGTAATGACTTGACTGTATTTTTCCCCACCTTCTGCAGGTGATGTACAGTGTTCATTCGCCTCCCGAACCTCCATTTCTGATTAAAACCTCCAGACAAATCTCATTTCCCGCCTCCCAGTATTTACAGAATAGCTTTAAAATTCATTTAACCCGTCTTCCTTTTCTCAACGCAATCCCTGTCTCCTCCCAGGCTGAGAAACATCGAGACACTGTCAAACCTGCTCCGCTCTGTGCTGCTGCTCTCTCCAGGTAAATGGTGTTTTATCTCTCCCATAATGCATGCTGATGTAGCTACACGGGCAGCTGGCTGCCAGCCACTCTATCAAGGAGACGATGATGAAGCCAGGTCGCACATAAAAGTGGGAGGATGAGTCAGTTCATTGATGTGTGTGTGTGTTTGTGTGTGTGTTTGTGTGCGAGTATGTACCTGTGAGATTCCGATAGTGTGCGTTTTTGATTGTGAGTGTCTGAGCTTCTGTCTGGTGTTATTTGTGAACGCATGGGGCCATGTTTGTGTCTCACTTTGTGTGTGCTTTAGTGGTGTGTTTATTTCGCTCTCTGTGTGTGTGTGTGTGTGTGTGTTTGTATTTATGTTTGATGATGTGTCTGTGAGTATTTCTTTCCCTGTAGGTGTGTGTGAGTGTGTTTCTGTGTCTGTGCGTCCATGTTTGAGTTTATGAGTTTGTCTGTCTGAGTTTCTGTGGCTGTGTGAGCGAGCAGTCAGGTGTTTGGTGGTGTCTTGAGATTGTGTTTCTGTGTCTGTACGTCGATGTTTGTGTGACACAACTGAGCCGCCTGTGTCTCTCCATGAATCCTTTAGTATGTATGTGTGTGCCAGTTTGTTTTTGTCCTATTGTGTGAGTTGTGTCCTGGGTTCTGTCTGTTTTTTATGTGTGTGTCTGTATCTTCTCTTTGTCGGTTTGTATTTTTGTGCCCACGTTTTTCTGTTTGAATCTGTGCATGCTACGTGTCCAATAAATTGTATTTGTGTGTGTGTGTGTGTGTGTGTGTGTGTGTGTGTGTGTGTGTGT